GAACCTGGGTTCCACCCCTGGTCAGGGAACTAGATCCCACATGCATGCTGCAACTAAGAGTTCACATGCCGCAACTAAGGAGCCCGCCTGCTGCAACTAAGACCCGGTTCAACCAAATAAATAAATTTTTAAAAATAAAAAAAAAAAAGATCTCCGATTCCAATGGCAACTTTGAATTTAAAGCCCTTTTCTGTGGTAGTGACGACAGAACCACTCTAAGAAAAACCAAAGATCCTAAACAGAAGAGTCACACCAGCTCTATATTCACAAGCTGACAGTAATTCCAAAAAGCTGGCAAGGCCAACCACATTTAGACTGAAGGAGAGCTTGCCAGAAGCCAAGACCTTAGCTAAAAGATTACCTCCCTTCCAAATCAATAAGGTACACACAAGGCCCATTGTATGACTATTCAACTAATGGGCAACATTGACTAACATTCCCAGAATGTGGCTCCCTCAAAATTTTGAATTGAAATTCAATTTAATAAAAGCTCCCAGAAAAAGACATCAAATCAATAGGCTCTTGGTTCTTACAGGCTGAAATCTGATCTCTAATGGTCCTTGTACACAGCACAGGCTTGCCCTGGGACTTCCAAAACTCCATTGCCCTTAGTGCTAAACTAAAAAGTACTATTTCACTTTAGAAACCAAACTGGCAACTCATCTGTCAACGATTATTTTGCAAAGCAGGTCACAGTTAGTTGAAAATTATATTTTTCCAATTAGCACAATGGGAAACACTACGGAGGCATTCAGCCCAAGCCTGCAATTAGAGAACATTTGCTTGCTTCTGGAAATAGAATGAATGGGAAGTAGAAACCTGCTATCTAGGTCTTCAGCAATAATCCTCTGGGAGGGGAGACCTTGCACTAATGTCAGCAGTCCGCAGAAAAATAAACGTCTTGCTCCTTTTCATAAGTAGCAATCTGCACTGCATGACAGTGTGTTCAGCTGAGATGAAACCCTGCTTCATCTCTGAATATAACAAAAGGGGTTTCCACAAGAGCCCAGTCATTAGAAAGGCAAGCCAATGAGCAGCTCTAATATTTTAGTATTAAAAAAAGCTATTAATAAAGTCTCAAAAGTCCCCATCTGTCACAAAAGTAAGTTTGGTAGAAGCACCTCAGCAATCTCCAGTGAGCTGATTCTTCTCCGACTTCAAAGATCTCACTGTGTCTTGGGTGTAAACAATGGGATGGTTAAAGAATTTAAACCTCTCAAGTAGAGGCAAAGACAAAGACAGAGAACGGAGTTAAAGAGAAAGGACTTTCACACCATGGGGTATGAGTTCTGTAACCTTACTGAAATTTTAGAGCACTAAACAAGATTTTCCTGTGAAGCAAGAGGAAACCATGGCAATTAAAATATTTGCAAATCGTACACACTGCACACACACAGTGCAGAGTGTTTAATAGACGAGGCATCCCTATACCACTATGTTGTAGAGGGAACACCGCAACCCAGGTTTTATGAGCAAGTGTTTTAATTTTGTCACCTTGGGTCTCTAGGAAACTTTATGTCGCGGAAAGGTGAAAGGGTGAGGTAGGGTGATAACAAATCCTTTCATTTCCTGCCAGTCAGGAAATGAACTGTTGAAAGCACTAGTAGCCTAGAGCTTAGCCCAGCTTGCAAGTAAACATGACTGTGTAACATTTCTCTAGTTCTCAGTTACAATATTGTAGTTTAACCAGGTGACTCATCATTGACCCGTTTATCCTGTGAATGATACTGTTCATTTCCTGTTCCGGTTGCTGGTTTCATGGATCTGTCCAGTGTGCAAAAGGTCAGCAAGTTATACAATTATGTGCACTTTCCTGTATACAATATATTTCAATTAAAAAAATCTAAATTTCATCTGCAGGAAACTAATTAATTAATTAAATAAAGTGTTTGAGGCTCAGCTTCCATCATTTTACCTTTTCTTCACCGTTGAGAAATAGCTCTGGGAAGTTCCTTCATGTGAAGTTCGGGCCAGGCCAGCATCACTTCCTCTGGGACATCTGCATCCTTTTCATCACAACCACCTTCCTCATTTACGCCGACACGCTCACCTTCACTGAAGTGCCTCCGGCTGCCTATCTAGAATCTCTCAAACAGTAGCAGCATCAACCCTCCCGTGTTCAAATACAACTCAATTCACGTCCACTTTGAATCGTCCAAAGTTATTTGCAGTGTGGTCAGTTTCTGCCACACTGCAAATCACTGCTGCTTTTTGCCATGATGCTTTCAATTTCTTCCAAGCCTCGGCTGAAGCCATCGTACAATCTCCAGTTATAGTACCAGTAGCCTGTCCAAACCTGTTAAAATGTGAAATAACCTCTTTGTTGGCTGGATCAATGAAAGCTGCATTTGATGGTAAAAGGCAAGTTTTCACACTCTCATTCAAGCCCCCAAGAGAACCTGGAACATAATCCAACTGCGGTGCTAACAGCCTACAGCATCTCTTCTACCGCTGGGAACACTACTAAAAAGCTCTGTTGTCGGTGAGTGAACTGAATAATAGCTGAACGGCAACCAGACACCAAGAAGACTTTGAAAAAAGCCAGCTGAGAGGTCATTCGTTGGGCCTATGTCCATCTGTTCCTCTGGAAATGGGATTTGTGGACCAAAGAGCTAGCATTAAAGTTTGTACTGTATGCGATTCCTCAGTTAAAATATACCATGGCAACTGAAATCTGAACCGTGTTACTGGGGGACTGGTGTTAGTTACCTAAAAATTGTGGTAATGAACGCGTGCATTTGGAACCAGGCAAAAAAAACAAGGTACTGAAAACAGGAAGACTAAAATACACAGTGACCTTTGCCCCAGTGAGCCCCGGAACTCTGAGCAATTAGGCCTTTACCACCCGAGATTCTCTCTCAGGAAGCTGGAACAGTAGGGTGTTCTCCCCCAAAACAGGGGAATAAACCAAAAAAAAAACAAAAACATGGGCTATAGGAAACAGGAAATCCAACAAAGGAGGTAAAAGAAATTCCCAGAATGGCAGAGGGAAATTTTAGGATGCAGATGTGAAACTTGTCTAGACTGGAACAGGTCAGAAGCTGTGAGTGAAGCTTCCCTAAAATATCAGGAACTTTCCTGTTGCTTCTCATGGTCCTAAAAGGGTGACAAACACTTAATAAAAAAAAAAAGGGGGGGTGGGGTGGGGTGGGGTGGGGCGGTAGAGCTTATTCCAGGGAAAACAAAATGATCACAGTATATACGTACTATAAGACTCAGCAGGGCTTCCCTGGTGGCCCGTGGGCCGTGGCCGCTGAGCCTGCACGTCCGGAAAAGAGCAGCTCAGTGATATTTTTTAAATACTCTCGATTTTGATCTTACCAAAATTAAGACCGAATTATACAGCAAAGGTGGGAGGTTAGGGTCTGTGTATGATAACAGTGTTAGACTAGAACTAAACATCATTTTTCACTACGGGACATCAAGAGCTAAACACTGAAAGGGCCAAATAGTAATACAAATACCAAAAGAAAAGCAAGTGGTTGCCTCAGGAAAGAGGGAAATGATGGTGGGAGATCCCTGTTCCATAGAAGCCTTGTTGAATCACTTGACCACTTTATTATGCATACATGCAACCTTAATGAAAATAGCTTGGATGGGGGGAGAGTAAAAAAAAAAAAAGGCAACATCTAATAACGCCCAAGAGAAACAGGCCAGAGTTCTCACCAGCCTGTGTCCCTGGCCCACGGCAGCTATTACCATACATGGAAATACAGATCCCCTCTGGCCTCTTACTAGCTCGAATGCGGTTCCTCTTCCCCAGATCTAGCTGCTCTTCCTAGAGAAACACATCCTTGGTTCAAGTACTTCCTCAGCTGTCCTCTCCTGGGCCAAGGGGAAAAGTCTTGGGGAGAGTCACTACTCTCCATTTAATCACTGGGCAAAGACAGGATCTGGGTTTGGGTGAGGTCACGTAGCACCCAGGAAAGGAAGCCAGCACCAAAACTCAGAGGGTCTCCTGCAGGACCCTCGGTTCTGGGCTTACTGTTAGGTTCCTCTTTACCCCAGGCCCCCTTCTCCTTCCTCAAATAGTCACATGGCTACCTTCAGCTAGCCTGGGGCTGTCCATTCTCTTTATTTTGGCTGCACCGGGTCTTAGCTGCATGGCACACGGGGTCTTTAGCTGTGGCATGTGGGATCTAGTTCCCCGACCAGGGATCGAACCTGGGCCCCCTTCATTGGGAGCGCGGTGTCTTACCCACTGGACCACCAGGGAAGTCCCTGTCCGTTCTCTTAAGATTAGGAAAGATACAGTTCAGTATCTTTCATCAGCTACAAAATAATGTTAGGAACTACTGCAAAAGGTCTTGAGAATTAAATGTATATAAAAAGCTTAGTGCAGTGCCTGACATGAAATGGTGAACATCTACTAAGTGAATCCATGGCAGGTACGCAACCAGTGGTCCAATTTCTCAGGCACAGGTCAGGCAAGCATAACCTTTATCCTTGTTGCAGTCTGGCTTCTACAAAGCATCTTGCTAAAAGTCTAAGGACAGGACCCATCAATCTAGTTTGCAAAGCCATGCACTTTTGCTTAACTGTCCTGATCAAGCCTAAAAGAGATAATGGGTCAAGACTGAAGAATCCGACACTGAGAATTTTTAAATGAAGCCGAGCTACACACACGAAACACGAACACTCATTTTAGCATTCTCTCTAATAGCAAAGCTACAAATAATCTAAATAAGGGTCTAGTAAGACAAACTAATCCATTCAAACAGGAAAACTCTGTGGCTGTTAAAGACAATGAGTAGATACGTGTTAACATGGAAATGTCTAGGATGTGCTGGTAAAAAAATACCAAACAGTTAGAAACGCCCCATGGAGGAACGTCATGTATATTCTGGGATCACAAGAAACGTACCAGGGAGGAGTGGGGAACTTTAAGCTAGAGGGCAGTTCTCACTTGTTAAGATGCCACATTCTCCTAAGAATTGCATAAGGCTGACTGATCGGGAGCTCGGATGCTTCAAATATATGAACAAAACCAATGAGACATGTTTTCTAAAAACGGTAGGCTTTTTTATTCAGTTAAGAGGTAGACAGATGAACATGGAAGGCTGGCCCATTTAACTCACCCAAAGTTCATATTCCACTGCATTCATCCATCCCGCGCTTCCAGAAATCTTAAAGAAATAACCAAGACTGCCAGAAGGATTTTTCTTCCTACTTCTTCTTAGCAATCATAGTCTGTGAACTGCCTGCAAAGAAGTTACTACTAACTTAAATTTTCACCGTGTCCAAAGAACCTTGTCCTTGTAAGTAAGAAGTTCACGTGTGCCAATAGAACCTGCCCCTGCCGACAGGAGGGCAGGGTACAAATGACTATTTTTCTAGGAGACTACAAGGGAAGCTTCGGTTACGGCGTGTGCTGCTGAGTCCCTGTGCGTGTTGGGGCAGAAGCTGGTGAGACCAACGAAGCAGAGCACACTGTCAAACGGCTCTGAATGGTCGTTTTCAAACGACACAAAACAAACAAACAAACAAACACCACAAGTTATCTTCAGAGACAACATTAAAACATAATGGAATTGAAGCCTGATACAAAAAGTAGAGAAATATGTACAGGAATTCACAGCCCAGAAGGAAAAGGAACCTCAACAGGAACCAGTGGAAACCTGGCTACTTTACATAGCTAATCTTGAGACAAGTCATATTTAGCACAAAAGCAATTATAGCACAAGTAACGCTTCCCTCCCACGGCTCCCAAACTTTAAAGAGACTCCTGTCAGTCTTCTATAACACTGTAATTCATTCTTCAAAGGAACAGGAATGTGTACGGTGGTCCCAAACACTGACCCGAGTTTTCATCTCAAACAGCTTCACCCTCTGAGGATGACGTATTTGAAGACTGCCATGATAGCAGCACTGATAACGCCAGAAATGGGGACTGTGACAAACCAGGCCATAAAAATGTTGCGGAAGAGTCGCCAATCAACAGCCTTTTTGGATCGGAGCCAGCCAACGGACACAACAGAGCCCACCTATGGGAGAAAACAATCAAGGAAACTGGTTACTGAAGTGCCAGTGGCATTTTGTTAAATAGACCCGTGATTTTTAGGTAGGTAAGGAGCCCCAGACTGCCGGAGCGATCCACGAAAGCCGGCTTGTAACCAGACGAAGGGCAATATAAAATCCAGTCACGGAATCTGTGCTAATTGGGGTAAAAGAGGGAAAGACAACTCCCTTTTCCCTTCTGAGCTGCTGGAATGTAATGAACTACATTAATAATAATAACAACTGCTTTAATAATAGATTCCTTTAAGTTTTAGGTTTCCCAAAGATTCTAGAGGGAGGCTGCTATTAGACCTAATAGCCAATCACCCGTAGATCTCTCTGGAAGAAGAAGAATGACTCAAAGGCTCCATGATGAACTAACTTAAAAACTCCCTTAAGGAAGCCAGCTTCTTCCTTTCCCTACAGTTACCCTATGGTTATTAGACGGTCATCAAGCCACCTTAGGACTCAGTAAGTTTCTCAGGACTTCAATCCTGAGATGCTCTGAATATATGCTTGCTTCAAATAAACTGCCCTTCCACAAGCCTCACAGACTTGCTACCTCTATGAAAGGGGCTCTTGCACCGTTTGGGGAGAAAATATACTATCTGCTTACATAAAAGTAACAAGACGCTAGAAACTGCGCAACGTGTCTTTACATTCTTAGAGTCAACTCGTCCTGAACTTGTGAGCCCTTCAACACCCCCGCGGTGTAACACCAAATTATCAAAGGAAAAAAACCAAACAACAAAAAGAAAAAAATACCTCTCGACGTATCTACCAAAACCACTCAAAAGACACAGTACCTCTCCATTACACTTACTTTACAATGTGTTGTACTGATGGGAAGGCCAATATTCGATGCAATTACTACAGTGAGGGCAGATGCCAGTTCAATACTGAAGCCGCTGTGGACACAGATAGATCACTTGTCAAGAATGGAACTTAAATTCTGGTAAGTTAGCACTACCCCAAAGTTCACACAATCTTGCTGTGCTCTATCCGGTGACGAGAACTCCAGCAACATCTTTAGTTTGCTCTAACTCCTGAAATCTGCTTTAAATCAGGCCCTGAGACTGCTCTTCTCTTTTCCAGCATTTGAGGTTTTAAGGTTTTCTGGAAGCCCATTCTTAAAGCTTGCACTTTTACTTTGAATCTAGTAAACATCAGTGTTGGCTCCGTAAAGACAGAGATAAAAGCCAAATGTACATAGCTAGTAAGCCTTAGCACACACATCTTTCTCAGAAGTTATTCTGTTAAAAAGAGTCCACCGGAGTTGAACAGATAAATTATGTTTAAGGGCCAGACGATAAGGAAAATCTAAAAAGTTCACACCAAAGAGAGAGGAACGTCGTGAACTTATACAAACTTGGTTACTTTATGTAGTACCACGGCACAGTATTACGTATCTTAAGAAAATGAGCATTAACCTAATAAGACCTGCTTTACCAACTTACCTAGAGGGTGTGATTGGTGTCAGATCTTTCCCCATGGTCTGGATAACTCTCCTTCCCCAAACCCATAGACCAATACAGATACCAACACCACCATAGAGCAGAAGCCATATTGGTGTTGCTACTTTTGAGGAAACGTCTCCCGTGTCATAAACCAGATACAAAGCAACCAGAGGACCGATGGCATTGCTGAAAGAAAAAGAGGGCAGGGATGATTTTTCAGGCAAAACTAAAACTTGGCAAGAATCTAGTTGTTAATTGATCTACTAAGTTTTCTAAAGCAAAGCTTTCATTAGAAACTGGTCTTTCTTTCAAAGGAAATAAATGGAACCCCAACACACACAACAGAAGAAAATGAGAGCTCTTCTCAGAGGGGAAACGCCACGCATCTGGTGGCCTGTCTTCCTACAGGCCCAACTAAAGCAAATTTTGGGTTCCAATGAACAGGTGACAAACCACAGAAATAGGATTAACCACCTACAAATTCATTCTAGGGGGCAGTGATTCTATCAAAGAACTGGCTCCCATCTCGATAAAAGGCTTCTCTGTGGAAGATATATGTGTTTATCACCTACAGAAACAAACATATTCTTTGTAATCTCTGAAGAAAAAATTTTTCTTCCTGTTTTTTTAAGTCAATTAATTGCTATTACCTCACCCTTTCTACATTATTCAGTGTCCCACGGGTGGTATAAGTACCAAGGCCGCAAGCAGAGCCTTATAAAGGGATTAGGCGGCTTAAAAACAGCACGAGCAATGCCAAGAATCATAATCGACTGACCTGACGTCATTGCCACCATGGGCGAATGACCCAAAGCAGGCCGTGAGGATCTGCAGGAACTGGAAGAGGAGAGACACTTCTGGTTTGTCCTGGTCACACCATTCTTCTAGAGAGCTGGTGCTTCCTTTTCTGTCGCCCAGACCCATCTCGGCCTTGACACTCATGTCGATCTCGGATGCCGAGTGAATATCAGACACGGCGTTGCAGTAGCTGGTGTAACTGTCCATTCGAATTCGCTTCTTGCCGTCTCCGTTAGGCCACGTCAGCTTCTCCATCTCTTCACCCTTCTGTTCACCTTCTTTGGCACGGAATGAATCCAGGGGCATGCCACAAATTGCCATGGTATAGGAAGTGTAGCTATTGTTGCGCCTCAAGGGTTTGTCGCCAGAGTCTCCCATGCAGTCGCCCACCTTGGCAAGATGTAGCTTGTGGAGCAGCTCTTTGTACAAGCCGGAGTCCTTATGCACCGTGTGATACTGATAGTGGCCGCTGGAGTTTATCTGGTTACTGACAGCTTGATTGAACTGAACTAGGTTCCCATTAGGCAACTGCACTGCACCTGGCCAAGACCGAAAGGTTACACTCAATGCCCAGAGCATCAAGTCCGAACACAGAGCCTCGCAGCAGTACTGCTGACAAAGGGAAACTCGCCTTTCCCCACCCGAGGAAGAGTCCACTCACCGTTCATGGTGCCATCTATGCTGGTTTCCTCTTTCAGGTCCACGCTGGGAAGCCTCTCTCGCTCTGGAGCTTCCTCCAGGTCTCCAAGTTTGAACGAGACCGTTCTCTCCTCCACTGCAGCCCGCAGGGGCCCAGTGGCTGCTGACCCTACCTCTGAGACGGGATTCCTGGTTTCTGTATCACTGAGAGACAACTTTGTTTCTTCACGTTCTTCTTTCAAGCTATTCTTTTTCTCCATTAAGGGGCTTTCAGAAGGACTAGACTTGATTTCTCCTAGAAAAGAAGGATGTTTTTGTTTGGTTTTGACCAAACTAACTTGCTCTACATTTCCCCTTTCCCTCGCTTCAAAAAAAAAAAAAAAAAATCCTTCTCAAAATAAGACCACATGTAAACTTCAGTGAAAAGTCAGGATAATTTTCCTGTCTGCTTTATTTGCCGTATCGCTTAATCTCTCACTTGGGAAGAAACCAGCGATACAAATGCAGAACACCCTATTACTAGGGGTTGCAAAGTTTTTTTCAGTGGAGGGCCAGATGGTAAAAATCTTTTAGGCTCTGTGGACTCTGCTATAAATTCCTGTTCTTTATAGAACCCTTCACAAATGTAGAAACCGTCCTGAGCTTCCTGCTGACCCCTTCTTGAGGGGAAAGGAGCTCAAGCACGGGGCTGACAGATAACTAAACATTCTGACCACATCTAGTGCACGCGCTTTTTAAAAACTGGCCCCACATTTCAGTCTGTGAGCTCAAGCAAAATGACACAGCTCAACGCAGGCAGCTGAAGGTGACTTGAATTTCCACCTCTAGAAAACAAAGACATGCGCCTTATGGTTCCAGGTTCCATGACCAGGTGGGAACGTTTTCTGCCTTTGTACCAATGCCCAGTCTGTTTCCGTGTCCACTCAGGAATCCCGGTCAAGCTACCAACCAGGGTACAGAGCATTAGCAAGACCTGTCTCATCTTCTCCCAGACTGAGGGAGAATCAAGGTCACGAAGTCCTGAAGGCCGCCAGACTAGCGCAGAGCCTCTCGGAGGCTCCTGAACACAGCTGCATGACGCAGCACTTTCCCGGTGCCACTGCAGTCTGTGCAGGCCTGCGCTCTTCAAAGAACAAACTTATGTCACCACCCGAGCATTTGCAGATGAAAAGGGCGGAAAAAGATCCTCTCAAGAGACTTCAAGTAGTAAGGGAAGGAATACAAGATTTAATTAAGACCTATACTGACCAAAATGTATGCCATATTTGATTATACTGAAATACTACATACACTAATGGTCTAAATGATCCCTTCATGACACCCGAAAATGTCTACCTCTGGAATCTGTGCTCCAATTCTGAAAATGAACCAAATCTGAAGTCAGATAATATAGTAGCATAGCTCTGAATATCTGAATCTGAAGGCGCTGGTTTTGGTAAATGTTTCCTGTGAAAATATTTCATACCTACCTTTTATTTTTCATTAAGGTATCCTCATCCTTCTCAATTAATGTAGACTACAACTTCTCTGTATTTATCTAGCATGTCACTGGCAAGTGATCAAGGTACAGTAAAAAAAAGAAAAAATAGATTAAGTGCCTAGCTTGTCCGGCGGCCCAAATAAGGTCAAATATGCCTTATGACTAGGTCTCAGGTCATTTTAAGTTAATAAGAACGTAGTCTGGACAATAAACCTACATCCGCAAATTTCCATGTAAATTTTCTGGCTTTACCAATCTATCCAAGTAGCAGATTTTTACAGACGGCTACACACAAAGAAGCAAGCACAGCATTACTAGTTAAGATTTTCTGCTACAACGTGTTACTTACGTTCAATTTTTCTCTTCATCCTGGGACATACAAAGAACCAGACGATAAGGGCACAGAAAACTGCACATCCCACCGAGATGAGGATGGTACCCCACAGAGGAAGTTTGTCAAAGCCCAGCACTAGGAGATAAAATGGTGCATCTTGAAAACCCCAGGGCAACTGCCCCCCTGTAATAACGTGTCAACCCTCCTCTGGGGACTCTGGGGTTCCCCAAGCCAGCCCGTCACCCTTTATAGCTATTGCCAGCCTTAGGTCCACAGGATTTACTGTGTTCGTGGCTATACAAATCTGGGAGAAAAATCCCATAGCATGTGAAATCCACACCAGTCTGGCCTGCTTTAAACACCTACTAGACTGACATCTCCCAAGCTCCTTCACATACTAGGCTTTTTCCTTTCTTTGCTTCAGAAGACAGATTGCTACACGGAGCAACTGCAACTAGCTATGAAAATAAACGGAAGCTTTCCACTGCCCAGCCTCCAGATGGGAGCGGCCACACCTTATGTTTGCACATAAGATTTTAACGTTAAAAAAGGAAAGTGCCCCAGTCGTCACATTTCTCATACTGATATAATTAGTTCTCTGTGGAAGTTATCACATCCATTGAACGAGCAAAATCCTTTAGAGCAAGATTATCTCTTAGGACGCGTTATCAAACTAAGATACATTTATCTATCAAGGGATAGGAAGAGTTCAAAGGGCTCGTCTTTCACAAAAAGAAAATAGTAGAGTGGTCATCACACTAACAGGCCACATCTTAAACAGAGACATGCCTACTTCTCACATGGCTCAGGGATCATTAACTAGTCACCTGGTTATCACTCAAATGCCAACAGCCTCCAAGCCACTCGTCTATATTTAATGACAGAAGCAAAGCACTAGAGAACACTACTTAAACCTAAAGGATGTTATAATGATCTGTGGTTTATCCAAGAACAGCTTAGTTACTTGGGGTTGTTTTGCATATTAGGAATTACTTACAAAATGGAAATTCTATTGTTCCTCAAAATGATTAGTATTTAAAAATCAGATATAAACCGAGGCCCCTTCAAAACCAAAGTTCTGTGATGACTAAATCTTTCCATTTTAATTCCTGCTATCAATTCTAATCATGCAGTTAGTCACACAAACTAAAATATACATGAAATTTAATCAATCTCTGTATCACAATTTAAATTTGCCTACGTTCCAAGCCAAAAAAGGAAAATGAGACTGGTTCTTTCTTGTAAATGATCGACCAAAGGACAGGACAAAAATACCCACATTCCCTCTTCAAAGACGACTGAAAATGCAAGTTTCTAATTTCACTGAACTATGAGCTTTGCTGCTACCACATAAAACATCAGTGCTTAGAGCCTCACGGAGCCTTTTTTTAGTTTAGCATGAAGAAGCCAATTTAAAACAGAATGGAAAGGCAGCAGGCAAGCTTTCCTTTGCCTGTAGCATTTGGTAAGGAGGCTGGTGTCCCCTAAATCAGATCAATATCCTCATAAAGTTGCCTGATTTCTTTCCTGATTATTCTAACAAAGACATGGTTAAAAATACTTAGCTAACTCCAATTTTGGTCAGTGACTTATTACTTCAGTGAGGTTTACAAAGCAAGTTACAATCCGTCAGTCAGAAATGAAATCAATTTGGTGGGCCACCATGAGCATTTTAAAAAGCTAAAAAGAATACTTGCAAATATGACCGCATAGCACACAGTAAGGTTAAGTAGCTTCAACATACTATCCCAGTTCTCTTTCCCCCTCTCCCCCTCCCTCCCTAAGTATGTGTGTGCTGGGCAGCAATGTACAATGTCTTTCTTCCAGTGTGTCACAACAGTCAAAAGACTGAAAGCCACTGACTTGACGGATCAAAGGCCATCAGGCCAAATGAACCTAGACAGGAAAACTGGCTGATCAAGACATGTACTGTCCTGTCTGACAAGTTACAGGTTATCAATCTTTTTCAATTGCTAAATGAAACACGTATCACAATTTAATCCATGCTTTGCCTTCGTTCCAACATAAAAGTAATCAACATTTCAATCTTTATAGTCTCACAAATATTTTTCCTCTTAGCTGCATGAATTCTTCTTCCAAGTGCACTTAGGGCAGGTGTTAAACATCCCAACTCTTCTCATTCAAGCAGATTCAGGGGAGTAAATTTAGAAACAAAAAGGAGCTCCACTTGGGAGAGAAAAATGAGAATATCCAGCAAACCAGTCCTAAATGACTGATTATCGAAGACCAAGTATAACTAATGACTCTTCAGTAGTCGAGGTAACATCAATTCCGGTATTTTTAGCATAGATAGGAAAGAGGGAGGGAGAAGATCAAATTATCGGTGGATCCTGTGAAGACTAAAGAGTAAAGGTCTGTAGTGATTTAGAATCTGAGCAGGTCTCTTTGGTTGAAAAACTATCTAGGTTAACTCAGCATACACTAGCCTGCAGCCTTCTGAAATGGGCGCAGGCCAGCCACCTTCTAGGAGATTTCAGCCCTGTAAACAGAAAGGGGTAAATTGGGCATTTAATGCAAGGTTTAGAAACCACGTGAAATTCACATTTAGGTATTCTGACGTGCACTTACAAGGCGCTCCAGTGTACATGATGGAAAAGAGGTTGATTCCAACTGTGCAGGCATAGAATACTGGCAAAGCTCGCAGCCCATTAGGAACTGGATCTGCCTGTAAAACACCATCACCATTAAGCTCCAGATCTTAAAAGCTGTGAAAACTTAACCCATTTCCATAGAACCTTATCAAAGGGCAGCTTCAGGAATTAGTTCCAATAACTATCTCCCCACAGTAGCTTCCAAGGCCAAATGGTCTTTTCCTACATTTGCTCCTGGAAGTTCCCCTACCAAGGCTGATCTCGTCTTCTACATCCATCTGAATTTAAGTTTGTGTTTGCTTTAATGTTTGGGGGTTGGTTAGGTTTTTGTTGCCGTTATTGTTTTTTTTTTTTTTTTTTTTTTGGCTCCGTTGCATCTTTGTTGCTGCGCTTGGGTTTTCTCCAGTTGTGTCGAGCGGGGGCTACTCTTTGTTGTGGTGTGCGGGCTTCTCATTGCGGTGGCTCCTCTTGTTGCACAGCATGGGCTCTAGACATGAGGGCTTCAGGAGTTGTGGCACGCAGGCTCAGTAGTTGTGGCTCGCAGGCTCTAGAGCACAGGCTCAGTAGTTGTGGCGCACGGGCTTAGCTGCTCCGTGGCATATGGGATCTTCCCGGACCAGGGCTCAAACCCGTGTCTCCTGCATTGGCAGGCGGATTCTTAACCACTGCGCCACCAGGGAAGTCCCTGTTGCTGTTATTCTTAACAAGGCTACCTATTACTAGTGACTGGTGATGTCCTGAATAATCAGTTTCAACCCCCAGTGCTCTAAGGTACCTCATGTCCAGATAAAATCTGAGCACACACCTGAAAATGTACTATATAAGAGAGATCAAGAAACAGACTATGTGATACTACATTTCTTACCTGACTTTATACCTGCAATGACTTCTTAAAAACAAAACATGTAGTAGAGTATACCAGCAACAACCATCTTATCTAGACATCTGATAAATATGCCACAACTAGTGATTTACCAAAGTGCTAAGATAAAAATCAATCGTATACTAGGTCACCTCCTCATTTAACAGACCGTGCCAAGCACTAAAATGTGGGAGTGAATGAGACAAAGTTCCTGCTCTCACAGAACTGACATTTACATTCTAGTACGGAATCACTCTATGAAGAAAAAAGAAGGGGAAGGAGGCCGTGATGGAAGGAGGCGCACACTTTAATTCTTGGGGGTGGTGCGGGAGATACTCCAAAGACCATCAGTGGAACAAAGACACAAATGTGTTAGGTCAACAAGCCATAAGCCAGGTACACATGCAGGGGTAGAAAAAGAGCAGCCAGAGAGCAGGCTACCTGGAGGGCAGAATATCCCAGAGACGTCAGAAAGTACAAAGACCCTGAGGCAAACACTTGAATTGTCTGAGGAACAGCAAGGAGGCCAGTGTGACTGGAAACAAGAGTTAAAAACAAGAGCACAGATCTGAATACATGGGAAGGCTAAACTTTAAAGGTGTGGTTAGCCCAAAGGTTTAGTGCTATCTTGAATCACAATCCAATGGAAAATCTTGGGGAGGAATAGACAAGGAGAAGAATCAAATACATCAGAAGAGTGACGTAATGGCTTAAGATCAAGGAAACGGAAAGTAGAGGTGCCATTCCAAATCAGCAGAGATGGGCCCTCAACAAAAACCACTCCGAATATTACCTTCCCTATCCGGAGTTTAAGAGAATGCTACAGGTAGGGAATTGGTCAAAACAAAAATAGCCAATAAAACCTAAGCATCAGGGCTTCTCTGGTGGCGCAGTGGTTAAGAATCCACCTGCCAATGCAGGGGACACAGGTTCAAGCCCCGGTCCGGGAAGATCCCACATGCCGCAGAGCAACTAAGCCTATGCGCCACAACTACTGAGCCTGCGCTCTAGAGCCCACGAGCCATAACTACTGAGCCCGCATGCCATAACTACTGAAGCCTGCATGCCTAGAGTCTGTGCTCCGCAAAGAGAGAAGCCACTGCAATGAGAAGCCCGCACACGACAACGAAGAGTAGCCCCCGCTTGCTACAAGTAGAGAAAGCCCACGTGCAGCAACAAAGACCCAACGCAGCAAAAAATTAATTAATTAATTAATTAATTTAAAAAAAAAAACAAACAAAAAACTCATCATCTCTGAGTAACTCAACCATGCGGGTCCCACCCCAAGGGTAGTCGGTAAGGTTATGAACCTGAGGTGTATATACATTTTTCTTCTAAGAACTATCTGTGCTTTTAAGAAATTCTCCAAGGAACCTAAGACCACCCCCCGAAATCAAAATCCATAAGGGTTCTAGACATTTGTGGGGGCTTCTCTTTCTCCCTTTTGCTACCTCCAAATTCCTCTTAGCCACTTCCCAAGGAGGTAACCAGGGCTAACATTTTATTGAATGTTTACCACCGTATGACTCACCTAACACTTAAAACTTTACCTATAAGTAAATATCTCATCGTCCAGTTATATGGGATGGGAAAGGGGGTCTTCATAACCCATTTTCAACCATAATAGTTCATTTTTTATACATCGGACATTCCAGTAAACTAAAGAAAAAAGTTCCTGAGTTTGAAAAGATGCCCTATATATATTTAATGAGATTCCTGACAGAAGGGAGAATGCTGAAAGGCCCACTTTCTTTGACTAGAATTTAAACACTCAACAGGAAAACTCCCTTTTCCCCCTATTCCTTGTTTATTGTCCCAATCCTTAACCTCCACTCTGCTTTTTCCTACTAGACTACCCAACACCCTTGGAACATTCAGAAAATTGAAAATTTTTAAAAGCACTTTTAATGTTAATTTCCAAAACAGAATCTTTAGTTGGAAAGTATCTTAATGGTCAAATATTTAGATTTTAACAGCCAAGACCACCAAAGGTTACTAGTGTAAAGATGTTTTCTTGAGACTTAAAATCTAACAGTAACCAGAAATATTCAGCCTCATCACCTAAAAATTCATCTGTTATTGGTAGATTAAACACAAGAGTATGTGCCTGCCTGTGTGTGTGTGTGCGGGTAGATTCTCAAAGTCCATATTGAATAGTTTTAAACACTATTCCAATCATTCTTTTTTTTTTTTTAATATTTATTTATTTATTTTGGCTGTGCCGGATCTTAGTTGCGGCACACAGGATCTCTTAGTTGTGGCATGCGGACTTCTTAGTTGCGACATGCGAACTCTTTAGTTGCAGCATGCGTGCGTGATCTAGTCCCCTGACCAGGGATTGAACCCGGGCCCCCTGCACTGGGAGCACAGAGTCTTACCCACTGGACCACCAGGGAAGACCTATTCCAATCATTCTTGATCATGTCCATCCTCATACCCCATGAGGAATATATAATTAAGAAGTTCATATATCTAACTTAAGGTCTCTAACTGAGGATAAAAATGCCTGGCATGCATTCCCCAAATGAGAGTTCTGGGGACCTGAAAATCCCACTTTGCACCTGAAAGCACGACCATTCCTCCTCCAGAAAAGAACTTTGTTTTGGCTTGAGACACACAAAGCCTCTCCAGAATCGGAACAATCTGTCTCTCAATAATCCACAAAGACCCGGTGTAAACCTTTATGAGCACAAATCCATAACAGGGGATCCCAGCAATCCTCCTGCTTCTCTGGTAAGGAGCAAGCTATACAGCTCTAGAAGGACGAAGAGTTCTGATCCCCGACTACTACTAAGCCTCAAATGGAAGCATCACATTATCACATTCCACAGCTGTGGGGAGTAGGAGGGTAGGTGCTATTCACTACCCGCTTGCTAAATAAGACAATGCCAAACTTTGAGTCCGTTAATATCAACCAACTGTTTACTCTCAAATTATACCAAGCTATAGAGGTTTCAAGTTTTCAAAGTGTTACGCTGCTATCTTTTGCCAGACGCAGGCCATGGTAAATACTGATTAGTGAGTCACTTTACCAGTTACTGAATTTCTATAGAAAAGTACGTATCCTTCCCTAGAGAAGCTTAGAACTAGACCAAACAAATGGCTCTGAATACATTCTTACCCCTTGGGATTAAGCTACCTATCTCCCTTCGCTCAGATTTCTTCAGTTCAGAAGAATTTTTAAGAACTTACAATGGACCGTTAAGAGCCGTTCACCTCAGGAAAAGGACAACTTTGTTTCCTGAGAAAAAAGCATTTATTCTTACTGTAACTCAGTCCAACGACAACATCCCTTGTTGTCTACATTTATTTTGGAGCCAGCATCAGACTTCTTGATTAGAAAAAAATGCTATCAGGTCCCTCAAAAGGGATTTTCAAATGGACAGGAAATTAAATGGCTGTCTGGAATTTTTTTTTTTTTTGCCAAGAAAAACAAAACGAGAATTACCTTTACTGGTTCCTTTTTACCTATTCTGAGCTATTAGAGTCAAGTCACTGTGAGAGGTAGGGTGTCCACCATGAAGCTTACAAGCTGGTTTGATAATCAACACTCTCTACAAATAACTATGTGGGGACCCAAAGGACTCCGCTTGAAGTGGCAGCAAAGAAGAAGTCACCCAGGACACTGATTCGTTGAACCCTAAGCTTACAATGCAGACTGGCCTGCATATGATGGTGATTCGAGGTAGTGATCTGCATACAGGTAAACAAAGCCACTCCAGATACATTTCCTTAATTTTTTCTTTCAGTCTCGGCACACTATAGTGTTCAATTTTTCCTTCCCAAGTGACTTCTTGGGTATTGAAAACCTGCCTCTTTCAGAAAATTCAACATACGAGAGGTATACAAAACAAAGAATTTTTCTAACTTTCCAAGGCCACGCTCCTACACACCGATCACATTTGCAATAATGCTACCGGTTTGAACACCACCGAGTGTGGCTTAGTACAGGTCATGGGGGGAGAGAAAGATTACCTTACGGAGGATGAATGCACGAACAAGGAAGAATAAAATTCCAGACATAATACCAGAAAGCAGCGGTGAGACGAACCAAGACATCACTGGAATAGAACACATTAAGAAAAAAATGTCAACTAATGGAAATCAGGAACCAAAACACACTTTAAATTTTAGTCCTCTCTTTTCAAAACTTTAGCCCGTCCCTCCAATTTTACACCATTTTCTCCCATACACAACGCCATGGTAACACCACAAGAAGAATAAAAAGCCTTTTAGAATTAAACATACCAATTTTTATCAGTTCTGACCACTTGACCCCCTCCTGCCCCTTCGCCACCAGGGAGAAACCAATGGTTGCACCAACGATACAATGGGTTCCAGAAATGGGAAGCTTCAAAAACGAAGCCACTAGTTGCCACACAGCAGAACCTGAAACACATCAAGTTTTATTAAGTACGTGACAAAAGTGACAAATTCCATTATGTACGAAGTGCATATTACTGAATGTAATAATCTGAATCAAGGCAGAGCACAAGAATGGAACTACCCATGATAAGAATTTCCTCACCCGCCACTATCAGGACAATACGAATAAAAAACTTACCAAACATCGCACTGACAGAGCCGGCCATCAGCAGCTCTTGTGTCGAGTTGTACATCTCCACGTCAATCAAGCCCTTCCTGATGGTTTCGCTCACTTTGGCCCCCAGCAGGACGGAGCCCACTGTCTCAAAGATACTAGCTAGGATGCAGGCTTGCTTCAGGGTCACTACACCTGATCCCACGGCTGTACCAAACGAATTTGCTACATCATTGGCTCCCACGGAGAATGCCAGGACAAATGCAATAATGAAGCCCAGGACGAGCATCCATAGGTAGTCCACCAATGGACCAGAAGCGGCAGTAGCAGCAATAGTAGTGGCAATCAGCGTTGCCATGGTAGATGCCATTCTCTAGAGTAGTGGTTCTTTAATTAATCAGAGAATTACTGAGCGGTTTTCGAGATGTGTAAACAGAATATGAGGTATCAAAAATGCTATAATAAATAATATATATTATATAAAATTAAATACTGTAAACTACGGCACAGAAACCGAGCTGGGGAGTTACTGCTATACGCTGCGTATGGGCATCTGTTGTCTGGGGTTTCTTTGGCTCTGGAGGGCTAGAAGCACGGAGCAGAATTCCATGGCGGAGAAGAGAAAGGACGCAAGTTCATCCTGGAAGGGGGGATGGATAACAATAGCAGCGCGCCCTTGCGGTCCCGCACCCCGCGACGGCCCACCGGGACTGGGGGCCCCGGCCGTGCCCGCCGCCCGCGATCCGGTGTCCCGCACCCCAAGCAGAACGCGCCGGGCGGCGGGCACGTGGCGCAGGGGACCACCTCGGCCCGCGCGCGCCCAGCCCGGCCCCCGCGCCGCCGGCCCGCGCGCGCCCTCCCCGCGAAAAGCGGAAAAGAGCCGTTCCCGCGCGCGCCTCCCGGGGACCGCCAAAAAGGCCCGCGGGCGGGCGGACGGGGTGGCATGGGGTGGGGTGGGGGAGGGAGGCGGGTAGCGCCGAAAGCAGAACCCCACCGCGCCGCCGGCCCTGGCCCAGCCGGCCAGCCCCCGCGCCGCCGCGTCCGCGCCGGGCCCCGGGGAGAAGAAAGAGCCTTTCCAAGGTGGCGCCGCCACTCACCAAAGGAAACGAGGGGCCGAGTGGGAGACGAGGTCCAGGCTGCGGCGGCGGGCTAGGGCCACGGACGCACGCACCTGCTGTCGGCGAGCACACGGCCTGGCCTAGGGCGGAGGCTCTGGGGATGGCTCGGCGGGGCTGGCAACCCACCCAGGAAGCAGCCGCGGACGCCTCAGCAGCCGAGAAGGAAAAGCACTCAGCACGCGACGGCAGCCATCACTCCAGCAGCGCACTCCGCCGGCCTCTACTTATAGCCGTCGCCGCGCACCGCGTGACCAGCCGCGCCTCGCGCCGCCCAGGAGCCCCGCCCCCGGGATGACGCAGCCCCAGCCAACCCGGCGGCCCGGCCGGATGAGCCCGACCGCGGCGATCATTGGCCCGCCCAGCGCCGGCGGCCACGCCCCCAGAGGGGAGCCTGTCCACGTGGGGAGGGCCGGTCCCCTCCCTGCGGCCTTGCCCTGGTGTCCTGGCACCTTCTGGCCGCCCCTGCTGGTTAGCGGCGGAGGCCGCGGGGCACCCTCACCCTGCCGCTGGAGGTCGTCAAGCGGGGATTGTAGAGGCCGCGACCAAGGTCATAGTTCTTCCCGCGCGAGCCCAGTTTTACGGAGCTGGCCGCGCCTCAAGCCGCACTTTCAGCGCACTTGCGACCTGCCGCATCCGGAGGCCACACCTGGCCGAGTTCCCTCCCTCCCGTCCTCCCGGTGACGCTGCAAGAGAGCTCGCGCTCCGGGGCTCCGAATCCATTCCCGGCACGTTGTCGCACCTGTGACTTGCCCTTGGCCAGACAGGCACTGTCCCTCGCCGGGGGAGGGAAAGGGCTCACGTGGTCGCTTTACTCCAGCAGTCATGCACTTGGGTGAAAACAGACTGAGCAGTCACGAGAACCAGGTCGTCGCCCAGTTATGGCGCAGAGCCCCAGGGCGGCTGCGAGTCGTCAGTTTCCCCGTGGCAGAGCTGCGTTTTCTGCGCCGCAGCTGTGGCGCGTGGGGAAGGACACTGCTCCGGATTCAAATTCTGACTCCTGCTCGCTGCAGCGTGTCACCTTGAGCGACTTCCAGATCTCTCTGACTGCGCTCTCAGGAATGTAAATTGTTAACAATCCCTACCTACCTGGTAGCGGGGATTAAGTGAGTTAACGTGTGTGAATGTGACTAGAACTCAGTAGGAGTTCAGTGAATGCTAATTTCGTCTTGCTCTTTCCGTGAATATTCCTGTTTTAGAATGTAGAAAAGGTTGTAAGGGTGTTCTCTTTGCATCCCGGAAGCTTTCCTATTTTGAGACAGATGGATTTCTGGTCCCCCTACGTGGTATGTAATGTAGTTTTGACATTAGTGAGATTTGCTCTGCACATTTAGGGGCATTTCACTATCTGGCTTAAGTTCAAGACGAACCAGTCATGCCAAGGGAGATTAAGGTCATGGTCTCTTGTCAGAGTTGTAGTGCGATTAAAGAATTCCCAACAGAAATATTTACCAGGCTTAGAATGTTCTGGAGCCCTCCCCACCTTCTGCCGTCTCTAGCAGCTGGGCACTGATTAGCAGGAACGAAGACGCTGTAAATCGTTGCTATGTCCGGGTCATCTATGGAGGCGTAAACTCCACCGGAGTATCCTCTGACCTGCCTAGAAAATCTGGTGGAGTTATATGAGTTACTTACAAAGCTCTAAGTCCAAAGGTCATGTCCAAAAAAAAGAAAGTGCGTGTCCGGGAGCACTGACCCTGGGGTGCAAATCTGATGTAATTCTGACACCTTAAATTGTACTCCTCCTTCCACCTTTACTTCATTTCAAGGTTATGAAAAAAAAATAAAGGACTGGTCTGTTAAAGGTCCTTAGTGTTCTGCCATTGAAAACGATAATTTTCAAAGCAGTTATTAAGGCAATTGCCTGGAACTTTTCCCAGTATGTGTTTTTTGCATTCTGTCCATTATGTCTACTTTTGCTGGTCTGTGGTACTAGCTCTTTAAGTGGGCAAACACTTGCTGGACAATGTCTATTGAAGGCCGTGGGGCAGCCGTGGGGCATATCTATCAAGGCAAGAGCACAGTCCAGGCCTCCTGGGGTGGGTTGAGGAGAGTGCCAGGGCAGAGATTCAGGAGATTCCCCCTGCGACACAAATGAATTCTGTGAACATCTTCAGGCTCTAGAAGGGTTCTACCCTTCCTCCTTAGGAGGACACTCAGAGTGAACCAGGCTGTAAAAGGACCTGGGGGGTTGAAGGCCGAAGGCCGTGCGGGGGCGGGGGGGGGGGTCCTGGCTGCCTCACCTGGGGAGAGAGGATCTGTGGGGTACAGCCCTTAGAGACCTGGACTTACCATGGTTGGGACGCCTTATCCTCCCATTAGGGAGAAGAGCTAGGGCTCTGCCTATGGAGAGAAGTTACAGTGCCTTGGAAATGCAAAAAGATGGAAAAAATGAGGACCACCAATTCACACACAAATGGCGCTGGTTCTGACCTTACGGCTGAACACAGGAAAGAGGGCAGAGATCCCAATGATAATGTTTCTCTGTTAGAATCAAGGCGTTCTCTGTTAGAATCTCGGACCCTAGGGAAGCCAGTTGGTCTAGTGGTTTAACGTATGGACAATAAAGCCGAACTGCCTGCTCTGCTACTCACTAGTCACATGACCATGGGCAAGTACCTTCTATGCCTCAGTTTCCTCATCTGTAAAGGGGAGAGGTTAAGAGTTGCTACTTCCTAGGGCTGTTGTGAGGACTCAATCAATGTACATAAAGTCCTCTGAAAGGATGTCTACTCCGTGGCTGGTGTGATCTGGGCACTCTTACTGAATTCAGTATCTAGCTGAAGGCCTACTGTGCAGAGCTCATGTTTAAAAGGAACTGTGTGTCACATGGCAGAGTTGCCATCCAGGCCACGCTCTTTCAGACTTCTCCCATTGCTGATAAAGAATGGGGGGCCACGAGAAACTGGGGCCCTCTGCCGGGGCCCTGGCGTGGTGGGATGGGGTATAGTTTGTGTCTCAGGGCACATGAGTGGGCTTGCTGGCCTAGGAGTGAGAGGCCTGGCCTGGCTCAGACCCTGACCGCCCCCAGGATCTTTGGTGAGTCCCTGCCACAGAGCCCAGGAGCTTAAGGGTCCCTTACCCACCCTCACCTCAAAGAGAATTGAACAGGGAATTCCCTGGCAGTCCAGTAGTTAGGATTCTGTGCTCTCACTGCCGAGGGCCCAGGTTCGATCCCTGGTCAGGGAGCTAAGATCCCACAAGCCATGCAGTGCAGCCAAAAAGAATTGAACAAGACAGCCTGCCGTGTGCCGCTGAACAGCAACCTGGGCACTATGGGTTTGGAGTTTTCTTGGAGATGCTTCCATCTCTCACTGACTCCATGGGTGGAGTTAAATTGTAGAGAGCTGGGAAAGCTGACCCACCAGCCCCTCCAGACCTGCAGAAGCATGGACAAAAGGAAGAGGCAGTACCACTTCTGCACTTTCTGAGCTCAGAGACGCTTGCAGTCAGAGAAATGCATCTGAGGTCACCATTCACTGAGCAGGAAGGAAGCCTCCTGGAAAGGGTCTGCTTGGAGGAGGGGGGACTGCAGTGGGGAATGGGAACACTGTGGAGCCAGACTGGGATCCAAGGAAGTTTCAGAGGCCATCCATTAGGACTTGGATGGGAGAGGGGAGAGGAACATTCAGGGAGAAGAAGGTGGGAGCCTTTGAGTAAAGGAAAACCACCTCTTCTCTACCCACCACTCCCCTCCACTCGACTGCAGTCACAAATGAATGAAGTAGTGGTAATATCTACCCCGTTTACTCTGCGCCAGGCAGTTTCAGATGCTCTGCGTGCATTAGCTCACGTGATGCTCTAATAAACCTGTCTTGACGTACTTTTACCTTATTTTACAGACGAAGAAACTGAGACACAGAGAATGAAGCAACAGTTAAACCAGTGAAGAACCCCACAAACTTCGAGTCTTTAAGTGCTTTTTCCCTGGCTGTCAGTAAGGGCAGAGGCAAATAGGATGCCCTTAGGTGGTAACTCTTCTTTTCACTTAACCCGTTTACTTCCCCCTTCTTTCCTCTTTATTTTTGTTAACTCTGTTGCTTTTACAGCCTGTACTTTAAGCCTCTTCCAACCCTGCCAGAATAGAAAAGGGCATTTCTAGGAGACCTGACTTCAAGATTGCCCTCCCGGGCTTCCCTGGTGGCGCAGTGGTTGAGAGTCCGCCTGCCGATGCAGGGGACACGGGTTCGTGCCCCGGTCCGGGAAGATCCCACATGCCGCGGAGCGGCTGGGCCCGTGAGCCATGGCCGCTGAGCCTGCGCGTCCGGAGCCTGTGCTCCGCAATGGGAGAGGCCACAGCAGTGAGAGGCCCGCGTACCGGAAGAAAAAAAAAAAAAAAAAAGATTGTCCTCCTTTTCTCTAGAGTAAGAAGAGGCAGGAAGTCAAAGCACATATTCTTCCCAAAAAGAAAGTTGATGCAATGGCCTGACCATGTCTTATAGTTGCTGAAAACTCTGTTCTCTTTCAGACTTCTCAAGAAAAGAAACATGGGGGAGTTACCTGGTGGCCTAGTTGTTCGGATTCTGGGCTTTCGCTGCTGTGGCCTGGGTGCAATCCCTGATCGGGAAACTGAGATCTCATGCAAGCTGCTTGGCGCAGCCAAAAAAAAAAAAAAAGAGAGAGAGAAAAGAAAGAAAGGGAACCTGCCTTGTACCCAGCTATAGTCAATACCTACAGAAATAGGTTCAAAATAATGATTCAAGTAAGGACCACACATCACCATCCCACCACCACACTCCCACCTGCTGTGAATGTGGCTGGCTTCCATCGTCAAATATTTCCTCACTCCCCATCAAACAGGACTGGCCACCCAGTATCCGTGGCTCTGCCCCCACGAGGTCCAGGGACAGTTCCGGAGAGAGAGGGAATGTAGGGGAGGGACGCTTTCAAACACCCACACAGACAAGCTCTGATGTGGAGAGCTGCCTCAGGCCAGCATCCCACAGCCATAAAGAGCTGGATTTTGTTTGGCCCAGACAAACGGGTCAGTCTGTTCCTCTGCCAACACAAGGGGTGGGGGACTAGTCCACCCACTCCAGACTTTATGTGCCTCCTTCCGACTGCTCATCCCTGGTCTCTTCCCTTTGGTTTTGAGTTCACACACTTGGGCGTGTTGTGGCATAGGACCCAGACAGAGGGGGCAGCACCGAAGACCCAACGCAGCCAAAAAAAACCAAAACGAAACAACAACAAAAAAGAATTCCTATTTATCAGATTTGCATTCTATTTAGTTCACAAACTGTGGTCACTAAAAAAACGATCAAGCCCTTTGTTCCTGGACACTTCTTCAGAAAGGCCTCTCTGGAGACCTCACCCTGGACTCCATTTTCCCCAAGGCCCAACTTTCTCAGCTCTTACCAGGAAAGCACGGAAGAAAGGCAACTTGCTGGAAACTCAGGAACTGTATGTAACGACACTTCTGTGGCAGAAGGGACAAGGGGTCAGCTCGCTGTCACCGTGCCCCTGGACACATGGCTTTAGGCTGAGAAAGTGAGTGGGCGGCAGGACGTGAGTCATCCACACAGCCCTCCCACAGACTGGGTAGAGGGTAATGGCCTCAGACGCTCCATTGCTTCCGCAGCTCTTCATTCTTTCACTTGTTGAACAGAAGTCTAGTATGGATCTGGCAGAGCAACAAGATTGACCAGCCCTCGCCCTCACAAAACACAAACTCCTTACACCCAGAATTTCACACCGAGGACCAGCCCTGAGCACAACAGCCGAGAAGGCAAAGTCAACCTTCCACCCGCCTCAGACCTCCCACTCCTGTTCCAGCCCACACAGCTCATCATCCAGGTCACTCTGATTCATCGTTCTTCTCTCAGCTGACATCTCCAGAGCACAGGAGGCTGCCCCCTGCTCTCCATGGGCATCCCCCAGCTGGCTCAGGGTCCCTCACTCATCTGATCCCCTCAGCAAGAGAAAGCTCTGCAAGAAGAGCCTGCCAGGGCTCAGTGGGTACAGCTGGAGAAAAAGCTGTCTGTTAGGGGAGCGACCGGCCCCGCAGGCCCAGAAATTCAGATGTTTGGGGGCTCGGAGGGGCTTCAGCTGTTGGGAACTGCCTCACGGGAGACTGAGGTTCTAACAAAGCCCAGTTTCTTCGTTTTCAGTGGGGAGATCCATTTCCAATTTCCCTCTGCCTAGAGCCTTGCTTCTCCAAGTGTGGTCTGCAGACCAGCAACAAAGGAGCTGGCAGAACCTCAGGCCCACCCCAGACCTGCAGAATCAGAATCTGCATTTAAAAAAATTTGTTATTGAAGTATAGTTGATTTACAACGTTGTGTTGATTTCTGCTGACCAGCAAAGTGATTCATTTATACATACACATACATTTTTCATATTCTTTTCCATTATGGTTTATCACAAGTTATTGAATACAGTTCCTTGTGCTATACAGAAGGACCCTGTTGTTTATCCATCCTATATATAATAGTTTGCATCTATTAATCCCAAACTCCCAACCCTCCTCCCACCCCACTTGGCAACCACAAGTCTGTTCTGTATGTAGAATCTGCATTTTTAACAAGGTCCACATGGGACTCATAGGCACGTTACAGTTTGAGAAGCAATTACAAGAAGAATAATGATTCTTGTTATCTGGACAG